AGTGAACGGGAATAAATGACAAAACATCAATAGCATATCTTCCTTTAATTGGTGACTTCTGTATCATGAAGCTTGGTTTATTATGTTTACTGAAAATAAAATTTAAAGCACAGTTACGTTTGATGGTTATCTGTAAATACATAGTAACGTGAAGAGTACTTCCTTTAAGCTGTGCCTTAGCTAATATTATTTTGAACCGGGAAGTGAAGCTGAAAAAGTTTGTGATGAAGCCACGTGAAATGAGTAACAGTAACACTTCAGTCTGCAAATATAAAGGCCTCACAAAGCGGTGATGCCAATTTTCTGGACGTTGAAATAAAATGCAGGATAGAGAGAAAATAAGCTTTTTAATGACAACGTTGAACTGAGACCAGGGAAGTGTTGGGTTTATTTCACTGTTCTCGTCACTGTTCTGATGCTGGGCGCATGTGGGAACTTTTAAGGGACTCTCCTGTAAATTAGGAATATTGATAGTTCCTTAATGCAGATATCTTCAGTAACTATCATGTTCTACTCACATACTGCTGTAACATAGAAATCCATCTTGGAGATACCCAGGCAAAGAGTTTCTGCTTTGTCATTGCTTGTGCAGATCCGCTGGTGAGAAACTTCCATTTTTCTAGCAGTTCCTTTTGCGACCTTAATTAGTTGCTTTTAAAAACTAAAGTTAAAAGTGCAGATTATAAATTATTTATGAAGTACCACATAGTATTTTTCCAGTAACAGAAAATAGAAAGCTATTCAGAAAGCCTTGGACAGAGCCTGCGGTCCTGCCTTCTTCTAGTTGAGTTCCCTCTGCTCAGCCAAGGACAAGGGGCTCTAAATAGAAACATCCTGAATTAATCTTTTCTCTTACAAATATAGCACATATATGTAGTGCTTTGTCATGAAATAGTCGTTTCAGTATTGTTTGCCCTTACGATACTGTTGCTGGTAGCATTCTTGAATTCTTTTTTCATATGTTATGACTGAGGACGATGGTCCCAAGTTACCCGTGACGTCCCGCAGATGGGCGTAGGGCTGGTGCGTTTGTAAGTTATGCTGGAAGGGGTGCACAGGGTGAAATACCATCAAGTCAGCTTAAGCCATAGAGCTTTTCTTAGTGGCAGAGGTATTCAAATAGTCTTCTTTCTCTTTCTTTCTACTCTTCCACCCCATCCCCTTTTTGTTGCCCAAGGCTGCTTCGCCGTGGGGCTGCGCTAAGAGTTGTGCTGACACCGTGCTGGGGGCGGGGGGCATAGCAGCGAGAGTGCTTGTGTTGATGTAACCAGTGCCGGTGTCTGCTA